TTTGTTTGTTTCATTAAGATAGTGCTCAGAACTGGTTACCCTCAGCTTGCATTTAAAGTATCTTGTGCTGATTTGTCTTTTTCATTACTATGTATAGGCTATCATCCCAATCCACTTCATTTGGATTACCTTTCTTGAGAACCCTGCTACCCAGCATGTATTGTATGCACTGTATCACCCAGTCCACTGCTTTTGTCATAATTGATTTGTGTCTTGTGGCTGGATTAAACCAAAATTTTGTTCTTATTCCATAAATTTAAATGGATAGTATTTTTTTTTTAATGTGTGTGTGTGCTGTCAAAAAGAAGTATTCTCTGAAGAGTTTGAAAGGAAAGGATTCAGATGGTGTTAATGTTTGCTGAGAATTCTAGGCAACTTCTCTTTAATTCTGTTCTTAAAGCAGACCACTCACTTCTCTGGGCCCATCCAGATGGATTTGTGGCATTCTTCCTGTCTCCTTGCAAACTTTAGTTAAGTTCGTGTTTTATGTTCTTCACGGTTTTCCACCTTGGTCGGGCTTACTGGTGTCAAAGTCAGACACACAGCCATTAATATTTGAAATTTTCCTTAGGAAGTCCTCAAAATATCCAGTAAGGAGGACTCTATTTCCAGTTAAGACTAGGCATAAAAAATAACTTTTCTTAACTCCTGATAACTAAAGGTAATGACCTCAAACTCCTATTTGAGGGCTTTGGAAGGCTTACACTTTATTTTCTGACCTTAAAAAGGCAAGGAGATCTTTTTAAGTACATTAGGGTAAAATGATTCCTTTTCCTGTTTTTTCCTGAATTGCTGTCCCATGGTGGAGCAGTGAGGCTTGACTGTCTTGATTTCAGGAGTGTATGGAGCACTGTGTTAGTTCACTCTTTCAGGTAGTGATAGATCAGAATGTCCTTTAAGTGGTTTAGAGGTCTGAATTGTCATGGTTTTGGATACTACCATGGGAACAGATGGTGTGCCAGGTGCTAGGCTGTATGGCATAGGCACAAACTGGCACGTGTTTCATGTGGATGGCATATAGAAGGCAATCCTGACAGATAAGCGTGAGTAAAAAACATGACAGAACAATAACCACCTTGAAATCTAAAAAGCACAGGTCATGCACAAGTGCCATTCCTTCCTATACCTGTTCCGTATCCTGTGCCTACTTGTTCTCCTGCTGCTCCCCACCTTTGTATATCTTCAGTGCTGCTTTTATTGTAGCTTTCCATCTTGTGTGTGATCTTTGGTATGATGTTCTTGACATTAAGGATGTTTGCAGCCTGTGAACTTGGTGACTGCTAGACTTCCCCCCCCCCCCCCTCAATGTAGTACATTCTCTGGAATTTTCCTCTAGTAGATTAAGCATTTTGCAGTAAGTTATTAAAAAGTAAGGACTTAATAATAGCTAATATTGATTTCAGTGGAGTTCTGATGCTCCAGGAAGATCTGAGCAGCTTTCCATGTTGGAGGTAATAAAAATCTTCAAGTAAATGATACCTTTCTGAATTTTTCAGTGTAGGTAACACAGAGTAGTCAAAAACTATAATTCCTGGCAAGCATTGGAAGCTTGTGCGCAAATGAGAGTAAAAGATGTGCTGGGGAGTCAACTAATGAGGAATACAGACTGAAAGTAAAATTTTTAAGAGGAATAAAAATGAGTCAAGGGGATGGGAAAATACAGAGGTTGGGGTTAAATTGTGTTAATGGAAATTTAATTTGTATTCAACTAGTTGTTTATCTGGTAAGAATTCCAAATAAACTAGAGGAACTGGTGTTGTGTCTTCTGTTTTTTCTGTAGTGTTTGTAGCTGCATGCTTTTTTATTTTGATGCCATTACAAAATGCTTCTTGCAGATACCTGTGGGTTGAAGATGCAATCCAGGTATTACACTTAAAAAGGACAGCATAAGGTCTGCTGTGCTCTCTTTACTGTAGTTATGTTGCCTTTTTTAGTTGGAAAAACATTTGTAATGCTATTAAAAAAAAATAATTATATGACATTTGAAAATGATACCTGTAATAGATGCTTACACTTGTTTCCTATGCAGGTATTGTTGGAGAAGCAGATGAAAATGGAGAAGATTATTACCTTTGGACTTACAAAAAACTTGAAATTGGTTACAATGGAAATAGAATTGTAGATGTCAATCTGACCAGTGAAGGAAAGGTGAAGTTGGTACCAAACACAAAAATCCAGATGTCATATTCAGTAAGTAATTTGGTGATGCTTCTGTAATAAGAAACTCTACAGTGTAATTAGCTCAAAAATGGGTACTTGCATATCTACTGCTATGTATTAATCCATGAGGCAGTAGGAAGATGTATCTTCACTCCTTCAAATATTTGTTGTTTTCATTACTTAAAGCCTTGATAGATTTATTAAGAACAAATGTAAAATGATGATTTTTGAAACACTTCAAACAAACTGAGGCTTCTATAATCTGCAGAAAAATGTTTTGGTGGGAAAGGAAGATATCCTAAAAGGTATGGAGACTAGAAGTAGAGAGACATCCCAGTGGATATGCATTTTCTTAATGTTTGGAGCTCTGACATTTGCATCGTAGATTTGAAGTGGATTCTGAGCTAGGACCAAAACCCACTGTAAGCCTTCATACTTTGCAGGCAGTTAGTATCAAAGCTTAGTTTGTTTTTGCAATTCCAGTAGAAATTTGTCTTGTATTAGCTTTATTAGTAGGGTTTTTTCTGAAGCCCTCTGCTGTTGTGTTGAACTGCTATGACAAAAGGTAATGAATAAACAGCGTTTGCTGATCTGAGCCAACGAGTTAAATTTTTCAGTTTTCCTCTTTATTTATTTGGTGCTACTTAAATCTGTAATGGTTCATTTCTTGTTTGCCACATTTGTGTACTGAAACTGGTTCTTAATGCGCTGCTTTTCTACAATGTGTTAGTAGGTGTCAGTGTGAGATTTTATTTCAGAGGATATTCCTGCCACTATTACATTTGTCTTGCGCTGAATAAGTTGTATAGTTTGAAGTGCAGATAACTGGTTTTCATCTGTGCTTTCTAGAATTATGTTTACACTAATCTCCTTATTTCTACTGCAAAATTGATAGTAGAAATTTTGAAATTTTCTATTTCAAATTCCACCAGCATTGTGAAGTCCATTTGCTCTGTGAATTTTGAGGTGGACAGCACTGAGTAGCTGCCAGTTGTGGAAATAACATTAGAAGTTCTCTTAAAATACTTTTAGTGTACAGAACTCAAGACTTACCTTTCCAATTCTGTTGACACTACTGGACAATTGCTGAAGTGGCACATGTGTGGTGGTTAATTCACAGATTGTCTCTGATGGACGTGTTCTAAGCAGTGCTTCTTAGTGGCAGATGCTCTAATGAGAAATGTATCTGCTTAAAACAATGTTGAAAGCTATTAATGTTTTGAGCTACTAATCTTCAACAAGACTGTAATTTAAACTGAAGAACATTAATATCATGCCTCAAAGTGAGTAATACTTGAGTCTTGGGGATTTTAATCTGTCTCAGGACTGTAGTGCATGATAGGGGTATTCAGTCTCCATTTATTTATATGCTTTCTTTTCTACTGAGTTAGAGAAGATCTGCTGGAAAGGATAGTTCCTTGTGTATTTTCAAAAGATATGCACAAGGGCCTGCATTTTTTTCAGGATCACTAAAAATTCTGATATTTGCTAATCTTGGCATGCTTTTGAAAAAAATTAGTGTAGATTTGTGTTTGATTTCTGGAATTGCATTTAAAAATTAAAATGAAAACAGTCTTGCAAAAATTCTGAAAAATGCTTTGTGCTGCCATATTAGCACCATACAGTTCAATGGTACGATTAAGTCTTCCAAATCCAGTGTGGTCCTCTGTGCAGCTAGTGGAGTAACTGATAGCTGTAATATGCTGCTACCCTGTGATAGTATGGCCATAAATGCATACTTTTTTTTTTTATTTATTAACAATTGTAGTGTCTAGGTTGCAGAATCCTATGGTCTTACTGATTTTAGGCTGCAGCTTTTTGCTTGTGGCTTTTAAAATTTTAGTGTCTGGCTTTTAGGGTCCAGCTTGATCCCTTTTATCCAGTTCCCTTCCAGGCAGCTTGTATCTCAGTTTATGGCCTTTTCTTTTCTGTTGACATCTGTTTTAAATCTGCTCTTATGTCTTGTAATTTCCCTTAGTTCTGCCAGACTGCATCTTTTTTCTTGGGCACTGTGCTCAGAGAATTTAAGTACAGATGATTTTACTGAATACCAGTCTCAGTGCATGGCAGCAAAATAGATCTCAACTGCTGTTGGGGCAGCAGAAGTAGAGGGTGTCATCACTGCTCAATGAACGCTGGTGGTGTTCTCCATAAGTCTCTTTTCAACAACACAGCACATGGAAATGTTGAGAAAAGGGAGTGCGCTGTCAGCAAAATAAAATCTTGGGATAAATTCCACTGCTTTCTAGCATGCCATTCTTGAGTATATTTAAACATGCTTTCTTTCTCTGACTTTTGTTCTGAAATCTTGGGCAAATTTGGGAGGATTTGTCAAAGGTATTGCCCAAAAATGTTTCACAGAAATTCATACTTTTACGAGTATCTACTGTGGGAAAAAAATCATCTTTGAACTATTTGTTTGACAAAATGAAAAATAGGGTCATTTGATGGATTTTGGACTTCAGTATTTATATCTTTATGAGCTCCTTCTGTAATCATGAAAAGGGTTTGTTGTACTTGACAACTAGAAGTTTACACCTTTGATTAGTCTTGCAGAGACAGCAAGAGCTAGGGCAGTGCAAGACTGATTCTTCCTTGTTCTTAAACATAAGCATAGACAAGGTAAGATCCATGTGGAAAGGTGGCTAATGTCCATTCTATCTGCAGGTCTGACCTGCAGATACCAGTCTTAAAGAATATCAGTCTGGTTTTTTGTGCCAAAACCTTGAGTCATATTGAAGAAAGCATCTGAAGTGGATGATTTTAAAATATGTTTTGGGTTTCTGCATGTGAGTATAGCTGAACATATTATAAGGAGCTTTTCAAGTGTAAATTTTTCTCTCTTCAGGTGAAATGGAAGAAATCAGATGTGAAGTTTGAAGACCGATTTGACAAGTATCTTGACCCATCTTTCTTCCAGCACAGAGTATGTATTGTTCTAAGACAACCTTATGAAGTAGCTGTTCAGAATGGTTGCTTTAGTTCAGAAGATGTCATGGAATTTTTGGATGACATCTTTAAATTTTTGGATGTCCCAGATGTTCTGGAATGATGAGACAGGCAGGTCTAGGGCTGTAGGTTTTAAGTCATAATTCTGTTGCTCAAAGAGGATGGCTTCAGTTCTTTAGAGTGCTTCAGTAAATGTTTGCAGACAAGCTTCAAGCCTGCAGCAAATACAAGGCAGTTCAAGTAAATTTATTCACATAATTGGAAGCAATCAAGTTTCAGGGATACAACTGTATGACTTGTAGGCTGAATAACTGCAATTTGTCACATGTCCAGTTTTTATTGAAGTAACTGCAAAGCAAAGAGTGTTAGCCTAAACCAGTTGATTATATCAGTTGTGATGTAGTCTCCTTAAGAGTAGTATGCTGGGCTGTACTTGTTCTGAAAATAGAGGTTTTTGGATTCCATTTGGAGCTCGGTGAAAACCAGAGGATGTGCTTGTCAGAGGCGAAATAATGTCACTGCACATTTTGATCCTGTGCGAAGTAATGGTTCCTTTGGCTTTTTGACTGAGCGTCTCTTTCACTGCTTAAACCTCTTCTCTGGGAAGGCAGCAGTGCATCGTTTTGCCTTGCCTTTGCCAAGGGAGCAGAACAGCCAGTTGTTTGAACTGTGCTGGTGCTTAACTAAGCTGTGATAGCTTCATCATGAGCAAACCTGGCTGTTGAAAAGTTTTATGTATGGTGTTTCACAGACCAGTTTTAGTGGCACTTCCTACAAATGTAGTGTTACTTACAATATGGGTTTATTATTACTTAGCTAGTGCTGACAAGCTGTCCTGCTAGGCAACGATTTATCCTTATTAAAACAAATTTGAAACATATTTACAGTTCTAAACTTTAGGGATGTGTTTTCTTTTTGTAGATTCACTGGTTTTCAATATTCAATTCTTTTATGATGGTGATCTTTCTGGTTGGCCTAGTGTCTATGATATTAATGAGAACTCTGCGAAAAGATTATGCAAGATACAGCAAGGAGGAAGAAATGGATGATATGGTAAGATCTACATTCATGCCTTTTTAAAAATATCTTTTTTTTTCTTATCTTTTTCTTCTTTCTTAAAAATACCTTATTGTTTTTTCTTTGTATATTAATTAAGTTAGCAGCTCTGAATGACTTTCTTCAACTGGACAGAAAACTTCCTTATGGGTGTCTTTAAAGTGTTACTGGTTTTCTTTATAACATGCTCCTAGGTTGCAACCCAGTATTCTCTCTGTAGTCACTGTGTTAATGTTCATATCCTCACTTAGGCTAAATTATTAGGTACATTCTGGGTGTGTAACAGAAGCCTGTATATACTCCTAAGCACTTCAGGGGATTTTAGGGATGGGGGGAATCTGATAGATTTTACTGCATCATGTATTCAGGTAGCAATTTTTGTTGTCTTCATAAGCACCTGAAAAGTAAACTTTTCTCCTAGATTTGATGCATTCATGGAAGAAGACATACTTGTGCTTGAAGTTACTTTAATAAACCAGACCTTTAATTTGTGCCTAGCTTGTGTGTTTTTTATTAGTTGTCATGACTCGACTTAACTTTTGTGTTGTTGTTGTTCTTCCTAGGACAGAGATCTAGGTGATGAGTACGGGTGGAAGCAGGTCCATGGAGATGTTTTTAGACCATCTAGTCATCCTCTAATATTTTCATCGCTTATTGGTTCTGGTTGTCAGATTTTTGCTGTGTCTCTTATAGTCATTGTTGTTGCAATGATAGAAGATTTATACACAGAGTAAGTGTAATTGTGCCTTCTACATATAAATACTTAAACAAAAAAAATAATTACAAAAATAAATGTTCACACTGGCCTGGAAAAAAGTGTTTGAGAGACTTTAGCAAATGATCAGATATAGTATTCAGAAGGGTTCTTTTAAATTGTAGTGAAGCTTTGTCCTACTCTTATCATGTGAGCTTGTTAGTCTCCTTTAATTTTATTGTTTTAATGCTTGCTTTATACATGATTTATTATGAAACTGTGGTTTGTTGTTCTGAAGCATCATGAGTAGATTATATGGGAAATAAACATTAAAAGGTACCTATTTCACTCCTTATTTCATCTGGAGTGACAAGGTATTACAATATTTCTTACTTTTTTTTCCTCCTCTTGTAAAGACTGAAATAGGAGTGTGCTGTGTTATGAATAGTCCTGTTTACTGCTGGCAATGCATTAAGCCAATCTCATCCTCAAGACTTCTCAGAACTGGAGATTTAATTTCTTAAGTTCTTTTGAACAGATAGTGCTCAGCAGGTGTTGCATATAAAAATTCCAACAATAGGTGGGCTGTGCTCCTGACTGGAGAGAATTAATTTGAAACAAGTAGTACTCCAGTTTTTTAACCCACGACTTGTGCTTCACCTAGTTCTCCTCCTTACCTTTTTTCTGTTTGAGTTTTTTGGTGTCCTGGATGGACTTCATTTCACAGAATCACAGAATGTTGGGGATTGGAAGGGACCTCGAAAAATCATCCAGTCCAATCCCCCTGCCGGAGCAGGAACACCTAGATGAGATCACACAGGAAGGCGTCCAGGCGGGTTTTGAATGTCTCCAGAGAAGGAGACTCCACACCCTCCCTGGGCAGCCTGTTCCAGGGCTCTGTCACCCTCACAGTAAAGAAGTTTCTTCTCAAGTTTAAGCGGAACCTCCTGTGTTGCAGCTCACACCCATTGCCCCTTGTCCTACCATTGGGCATCACTGAGAAGAGCCTGGCTCCATCCTCCTGACATTTGCCCTTAAAATATTTATAAACATTAATAAGGTCAAACCTCAGTCTCCTCCAAGCTGAAGAGACCCAGCTCCCTCAGCCTTTCCTCAAAAGGGGGATGCTCCACTCCCTTAATCATCTTCATGGCTCTGTGCTGGATATTTGATTCTGTATTGATTGTATTTTGGATACTGGGGTGATTTTTATGTTTTGTTTTTGGGGGTTTTTTTGTTTGAGGTTTTAGGCAATGACTGGAATTTCAGATCTCTTCAATTTTCCCTGCCATTAGCATGTGTTAACTATTGCTTTTACCAAGTTGTAGTACCTCTAATGTGTCACTAGAGGGAACTCTTGGTTTTAAATTTAGTTGCCTGTTAATGGTGTGTTTAAAAAGCCACTCTGTAGTGCCAGTATCTCGGCATATTTTCAGTTTTTCATATGTTGTTATTCTCCCGTTATGCCCCATGGTTACATTTCTGGTTAGGCTTATGTGTGCATTTTTAATTATACAGCATGTCAGCCCTTTAAGGGAGGGAACGAAACCATTTCGGAATGTTTGTGCACTGTAGGGAAGCTGTTAAGTTAGTAATAGCAGTTATAAAAAGTGTCAGAACAGTAATTTAAAAAAAAATATTTATTTGCACTTAGTCTGTTATTGCAGGAGGCCTTTATATGCAGTAGTACTGTGTAGTAGTACTGAAGTACTACAGTGGTGGTAGTACTGTAGTAGTACTCAAGTATTGTGGTAGTACTCAAGGTGCACCTTGAGTACTGTGTTCAGTTCTGGGCCCCCCAATACAAGAGGGACATCGATGCTCTGGAGCGTGTCCAAAGAAGGGCAACAAAGCTGATGAAGGGGCTGGAGAACAAGTCTTATGAGGAGTGGCTGAGGGAACTGGAGTTGTTTAGTCTGGAGAAGAGAAGGCTGAGGGGAGACCTTATCACTGTCTACAACTACCTGAAAGGAGGGTGTAGAGAGGTGGGGGTTGGTCTCTTCTTCCAGGTAACGGGTGACAGAATGAAAGGAAAGGGCTACAACTTGCACCAGGGGAGGTTTAGGTTAGATATTAGGAAAAATTTCTTCACAGAAAGGGTAGTCAAACATTGGAACAGGCTGCCCAGGGCAGTGGTGGAGTCACCATCCCTGGCGGTATTTAAAAGACGGGTAGATGAGGTGCTTAGGGACATGGTTTAGAGATGGGATTGGTAGTGATGGGTTAATGGTTGGACTCACTGATCTTTAAGGTCTTTTCCAACCACTATGATTCTATGATTCTGTATCACTTTCAAAGTGAATTTAATTCTGGGTGTGTAGCGGAACAGTTGACCAAATCTGGTGCAGAAAATTGTTATGTTTAGGAGAACAGTGAAGTCAGTGAAAAAGGCTGTAGTCCAGCATTACAACAATGATTTTCTGTCAGTGTTCTTTAAGTCTATTAAAACTCTTGGGGATCATGTAGCTGATGCCAAGTAAAATTCTCTCAGTGAGATTTGGTCATGTCACCTATTAATTTATTAATACTGGTTTGTGTACGTGGAATATAAGTAAGCTGAAGAATAAGAAATCTTGAGATAATTTTAGATTAACATGTGCTGGTCACTTTATAGGCAGCCTGGATTTACATGGGTCACTTCAGACTGTGCGTGGTTTTCTGGGGTTTTGCTTGTGTTTCTAAATTGGCTTAAGTTAGGACAACTGTTAAAATTGGTTTCTGTCTAACAAGTAACTGTCTAAAATGGAAGTATTGCTTATTTTTTTTAAGAAACAAATGTTAGCACAATGCTCTGTTAGTGTATGTGACCTACAGATACATTTGCTTCGTTCAATCCATCCAGTCATGGAAGCTGTTTGTACTAAAGATTACTTCTTTGAGTAGGGCAGGCATCCAGTAGTTGTTCATCAAAAGCCCAAACACCAAAAATCTAGGATCTTTCAGAACAACTAATTTGAAGATAGTACAGCAAGCTGGCTGAAGACCTTCTATTGCTTTTTGCTGTTGAAAAGTAGCAGAAGGACATGAGGAAATGTCTCTGTTCATGTATAACATTTATATCTCGCTATTCATAGATACAGTTTTTAAAAATGTATTTGGAGATGGCTTTTGTGATTTAAAATTATTAATTTGCCTGTAAAATTTCAGAAGAATTAGGCCCAAATGAGTACTGCAGCATTTAATGAGGCAATAATTTAAAAATGACTAACCTCTTCAGATTGGACTACTCCGTGCACATCTGTGGCTTCATTATAGTATTTATAGTTTTGAAGTCAGATTTTTCTAATTTTCTGTATGATGAACACTTTCGATCTTAAAAGTTAATTTCTGAAGAGTGACAGAAACATCATTCACAGTCTTAATATGTGTTTGTTAATATTGCCCTTTATATTAAGCAAAGAGTATCTTTTATTTACAGTAGTTAAATCTTACACCTAATGTATGTCATGCGGATAGTTCAGTTCTTTATACAGAAGGTACACAAATCAAAATGTCAGAGTATTTTGGTCAGAGGTGAGATTTTGCACTCCAGTGAAAATAAAAGCATGTTAGAAAAGAATGTAGTATGTTGGAACTCTTTTTCCCAGATTGAATTAGACTTGGCCAGAAGCTTTGGATGCAAGTGGTTCTCCTCCTTACACAGATTTTACAATTTAAGCACATAAAAATTTTTACATTACCTAAAAATGTTAAATAACTGCTTCTGCTAAGTGGACGTATTTTACTGTAATCTTTTGCTCTAATACTGTTTTTTTAATTTTTTTTTCTATTTCATTTATCAAAAAATCACTTCTTATAGGAGAGGATCAATGCTTAGTACAGCTATATTTGTTTACGCTGCAACATCACCAGTAAATGGATATTTTGGAGGAAGTCTTTATGCTAGACAAGGAGGTAAATTGTTGTTTTCATTTTTCAGCATTTTCATTACTTTGGTAAATGGAGAGTTTATTATTTTCTGATTTTCACCAATACAGGAGCGTCCTTATGGAGTTAGGTCATTCAGATAGAATCCATTAAATTCTTCATAAATATAAAATATTTTTGAGTGTATTTAACTTTCATATTACTTCTTATTCGGTATTGCCTGCATTTTCTAACTAAAGATAGCTGAAGTCTGGTTAATTTAAAAGTAATAAGGGCGAAAGAATTGTTAACAATTGTATCTTATGAATTGCTTGTTATCCGCTTGTATATAATTGACTCATGACATCCAGAGTGTAATAGTCTCTCCCTCTTCTGAAACATGCTGCTAAACAGCTCGTGTCATCTTCTCCAGGTGACTTCTACAGAGCCCTCCTCTATAGGTACTGAGCGGGTTATGTTTACTAATACGGAAAGGATGAGTACACAGTCTGTACTAAACCATTAATTTTGGATGGGGAAAACTGTTTTTAGCATCTTTTAAAGAAGGTTATTCTACTTTTCAGTATGTGCTCTGCTTTATACTTAGCAAATTCAAAGTTAGAGTCAGTAGAGAGCAGAAACCCAATAAAACTGGCATAACAGATTTGGACAGGCTGTCTTCAAGTGCTCCCTGCTACGCCTCTGAGTTATGACCAATTACGTCCTTGAAGTCCACTAGCTTCATCCATTCCCTGTGCTGCAATAAAAGAGTAATCAATATCTATTATCTTCTACAGAGCTTTGGAAAAAACAATTCTGTTAAGTCTGCAAAAGAAAATATGTGTCTTTTTATCACGACATGCTTGTTAATATTCAGTCTTAACTGCACTCTAATCTGCTCTGAGTTTGGAGGTTGGATGTTTCTTTTCATGTGTCTTGTGTACAAACTGAGCAATTTGTAGAAAAACAGATCTAGGTAAATTCAGGTTGATCCAAGACGTTCATGTTCTATAGTTGAGCCACATTGGCTTTTTTTTTTTTAGATATCAAACTTGTATCAATCTGTAAAATGCTGATTATGTTGGCCTACAGTGAAAATACATGTGGTGTTCTTCAAAATCATATGCTCGTTTTCTGACTTTTTCATTTAGTAAATATTACACATGCATCTATGGTGTATTAAATTTAAGTATAGATAGTATATAAGAGCACAGAAAGTAAAGGGAATACAGTCAGTGACAATTCTTAAGGTATTGCCCGAGAGGGTTTTTTGGAGCTCATTAGGGAGCTCTGAACTTGGCAATACTGTGAACAGCTGTTGCAGTTCCCTTTATGCTTAGGGTTTAGAGATTACTTTTCTTCTACCTTTTCTGCTGGTGAAGATAAGGGAGTTCAATTTTGCTGTATGTTGAATGCTGTGGCATTTTACTTTATTCCAGGGGTAGCCAGTTCCTTAATGTAACATCCTGAATGTATGGAGTCAGTTGGGTCAAGACAACCAGGAGCGAGTGCTGCCTGAAAGCAGCTGTAGTGCTCAGTTGTCCTGGGAACAGTGCTGAGCTCTCACGTGCTCTCAGGGTGTGAGCAGGCTCTGCACAGGGCCAGCTCTGCTATCCCTTTTTCTACTAATCTGCATCTTACATATACACTTAGATTTCATACCTCAATTTCTTTGGCCATTCTCATGCTGTATCCCTTTTCCTGTCTTTTCAACTGGCCTAATAAATTGTTAAACATGCTACATCTTGTGAGTTGTCAGGAGTCAGATGAAACCGTTAGTTGACTCTTGGTTCTTGTATTGGTGTAGCATGTTGTTGCTTACTTTCTGACTACTTCTTCTCTAAAAAGTATAACACCTAAAAAACTGGAGAGCTTGCTGTTACCCTGTATTTTGTTTAAAAATTTATCTCACCAGTCACATTGGAATGTCTCTTCTTACAGGAAGGCGATGGATAAAGCAGATGTTCATTGGAGCCTTCCTTATTCCAGCAATGGTGTGTGGAACTGCCTTCTTCATTAACTTCATTGCCATCTATTATCATGCTTCAAGAGCTATACCCTTTGGAACCATGGTGAGTCATTCTAATAGATAATTTAAACACCACTGTAAACACAGGAAAACTACCTTTTAGTCTAAATACAATTGTGAATCATAGCTTTAGCTTCCTATTTAGAAATTTATTCTGTGAGATTTTTAAGATGCTTCAAGTATAATTACTGTTGTGATTAAAACTAACAGCTGCTGGATGCCAGTAACGGACTTCTCTCTGCTTAAAATGACACTTTTGCTTTGTATTCAAGCTTAGCGTTATAACAACATGGGAAATTAGCAACTTGAATTTTCTTCTGGATGGCCAATGCAAACTGATTATAAGCTAAAATGTAATATAAAAGGATTCCAAATGAAAGCTACTTCCAAATCGTAGAACGGTCTGGGTCGGAAGGGACCATCTAGTTCCAACCCCCCTGCCATGAGCAGGGACACCTTCCACTAGATCAGGTTGCTCAAAGCCTCATCCAGCCTGGCCTTAAACACTTCCAGGGAGGGGCCATCCACAGCTTCTCTGGGCAAGAAGAAAATCATTGCAGTCAAGCAGAAAAAATAAAACTAAAAGATCAGCCAACAGTATAAGATGAAAAGTCCTGAGGATGTCTGGCTTTATGAAAATGAATCAGTGTTTTCACTTTGTGAAGTGGTATTTAGTATCCAGTTATGGTCTTGTGTCTGTGTGTTAACTGTGTCACTTGAAAAACAACGCTGTTCGGATTACTTTCTCATTTAATCATGATAACTTTTCTTGTTTCTTGTGGCTTTTGTCAGGATTTTGTTTGTTGTCGTGGCCCTTTCAGGTAACCTCAAATAACCCTGTGAATACAATGTAGGAAATAATCGCTTGGCACTTTGGCAGAATTTCTGTTTGAGCTTGCAAGGGGTATTATTTGAGAGCAGAATTTTTTTAAATATGCACCATAAAGTTGCTTTTTCTAATTTTATGCAGTATCACTGTTAACTTAAAAAAACCTCCTTAATACAGGAAGACTTGTTTTCTTTTCAATATCTGTAGCAAATTTTGGGATGTAACCTTTTTTATAGCTTCCTTCTTTGCATATCAGTTTTTGTGATATGTTAAATTATTCAGTCTATTCGGAGATGTTTGGTTAGCCATGGATTTTTTCTTAATTTAAATCCACCACAAAAGTAAGCTTAGTATCACAAACTCTTTCTTATAAACTGTATTATTTGGAATATAATCAAATTCAGTATGTGACTGAAAGTACTTATGAAGAACATATTAATGAATGAATGTAGTCAAAATCATAAATGGTAATAAAAAGATAGACAATTCTCAATTTCAGGTAAAGGCTTTCAATGATTTTCCACTGCTGGAGGAGTTTACTTTACATATGCATTGCTGGTTCTAGTCACCTCCTTAGTAGTAGTATTTTCAATGCATGCCTAAATGCCAACTTACTACATTTAATTTGTTGTTATACAATCGCTAAATATAATATCAAGCTAAACATGTTTATAAAGTGTTGAATTAACTTTTCTGGTTTCCTTCTTCAAGAAACGAGATTAAAATTCTCTCTGGTTATGTTTGTATTAGTTGGTCAGTGCCCCAAAGAATATTGTATTGTTTTGTCTTTCCTAAGCTAGTATCCATATACTGTACTGTCAGAAAAGTTTACAACATTGACCTTTGATACGTGCAAAGAGGCTCTGTTTTACTGCTGAGCACGCATTTATGATATCACATTTCTCACTTGTATTCCCATTTGGAGGTCAGGAATGCTGAGGGAAGGGCCTCACCTGTGTTGAAGTTTGTCTTGTAAATCTGTTCAACTGATTTGTATTTTAAGATCATGGAAGTAAGTACATGCGAAAGCAAATGGGAATATAAATCTTCAGGGGTCACTTAATCAGGATGTTAGGACTATTTATACACAGTGATTTTAATGATGTCAAGGTTTTATGAACATGTTTGAATCGTTATGACTGTGGCAATAAAACTTCAGTGGAGTTAGCAGACTCTTAGTAGGAGCAGGTTATGAATCGGAAACTTCATCAGAATAAGCAACGCTCTGATGACTTCAGGTTGAAGCTGGTTTGTACAAGGAAATGAAAATTGTTTTAAATTACCATGTTATGCTTCAGGTTGATGTCCCTGGAAAGCCCTCTGGCTTTATAGATAAGATACCTTTGTGTCTTTCCACTTTTGTTTTCAAGGCAGAGAAGCTTCCAGAATTCTCTAGTGCAAACTTGTTGCTGTTGCTTTCCTGGGGCAGTAAAACCTCCGCCATCTAAATGTACCAGAACTCAGAAATTACTTCCTTTACCCTGGCATGTCTTGAGGGTGACCGACCTCCTTGATTTAAATTACTGGCAAGAATTGCCACCTCTTCTTGACTACTGTAAATCTGGAAAAAGCAGAAACTGGGTTGCTGAAATAAATCTCTGAGCTAAAAGTTTGCTAAGAGACTGTGCTTAAAGATGACATCCTGTGCTTTGCATGTTTTGCATTGCCACTTCCCAGTGAACTGATAGATAATCTCCTCTCTGTGACTTAATTCCTTCCTCCAGACAGATTTTTCTGTGGAATGCAGGCAAGGGTTGCTGATGGTGTTAAAGTCAAGACATCCAAACTAACACACAGTTGCTGCATTTTTGATCTACCTGGTATCTGCTCTACTACACTTTTGTCTTGAGATGTTCAAATTGATTGGGCTCTTCAGAACGTTCATACACCTCACTGTCATTGCAGTCTGTTTTGAACTTCAAAGTTTTGTTCACCTGGTATAACTCATTCCCGATGTCTGGGATCTCCTCGAAGATGGGGTGGGGTCTGGGAAGATCCAGAGCTTCTTTCTGAAAACATTCTTCAGTCTTGGGACTCTGCCTTTAGCCCTTTTGGATATACATGCAAGCCATCTTAACCTATACTGTGACAAACCTTCTGTAGTGAAACGCATCATGAGCCTGAACAAAGGCTTCATCTCTTCCCTGGGATATCTTTCAGCTGCCCTTGCCTTCAAAATGCAATAATGTGACAGATTTTATTCAAATATGGGAGCTTTTTAAAACTTAATGATTTAAAGCTTTCAACTCCCTAAGCATATGAAGGAGATATAAAAGTCTATTTTTTTTCCTCTCATCTCTTCACCTTTATAGAAACGCAGTGGGTACTGTTCCATTCTTTGTTCTTTTGGAGCCCAGATTTGATTTTTTGGGATATTTTGTGTATTATATCCTGTTATTGGTTAACATAGAGGAGTTCTGAAGGTGTTGTACACCTTGACTTACCTTCTGTTGACTTTTGTCAGTCTTTTTGGTGTATTTATCAATGCTTTTTATATTTTGTTGTCTTTGAATTAGATGCAAGAAATGGAGCATGGAACAATTAAAAAGAATCTTAGGTAATGGCAAGTGAAGTGACCTCTCCATAAACGTTTGAGTGTGGGGGTAGTTCCATGCAGAAGTGCTCCTTAAGTAATGCATAATTTCTACAGAGTACAGCATGATTGAATTTGAAGGGACCATCTTAATTCTTGCATTTCATAAGTTGTGACTGCTTACATTGTTCTGTGTGTGATACATAATTTAAAGATTTCCATTAAGGCTGCTATGACTAATGTAATATTCTGACTGCAGAATCCATGCAGCTTCTATTAAACTGTTTAAGATGTACCATTTTTGTTTTGTTTGAGTAGTAGGTTCCTGTGTGGCTAACATTTCCAATATGTATTTTTAATGATTTAATTAAATAAGGTTACGTGCACTGAATTTCTCTTGGGATCAAGACCCTAGTGTTTGCATCTTTTATAAGTTGTTTAAACTAGAAAAAATGTTTCCTCCAATAGATAGCTTAATCCAGGCTGCAGCCATCTCTGACAGCTTTGAGCTGATGGGAGTATTGGCTGACACTGAAAAAGGAGGATCTGGTAGCACCAAAGATTTTCATGCCTTGAGCCAGATAGGGAAATACACCTGGCTAAAAATAGAAAAAAATCTAATTATGTACATTCAGCAGGGTGCTTCCTCAAATTGCTGTGGAACCTCAAAGTGACTGTGAAACCCTTTGTCAAAAACCTCATTTTTTGCTGAAAATAGTCACAGTTTAATGCTTCTACCTAAATTTTCAACAGTTTCATTACCCAGAACAACACACTAGGTTAACAACTTCATTGTAATAAAATTAATAACACTTTATTTTGAAGCCTTCTATTCTTTTCTTGTTCTATATAATGTTTGGTCAGATGGTGTGCAGAAAACTATTTCACTGTAGAGATTCAGTAACCTCTATATTGGAGGAGAGTCTCATGACTGAGACTGCAGTTTTGGTAGCTCACAGGAAAGATCAAACTGCTGCTTTGACAGTTAATTTTTATTGCTTTTCTCCCTTGTGCATTAGGCAGTCAAGGCACCATAGCTGGCCAGTTGCTGTTTTAATATTAGATATGCTCATAAAAATTTTAATTATCACCTTTGAATGAAGTTTAATCTACCGTTGTCAGAAAATATGAAACACATGTCACTAGAACATAAATTATATCCCTCTTGACAATGTTTCCTTTCAAATATGGAAAACAGAATTCTGCACATTCAGTCAAGGGCAGTAGAATATTCTTTCCCCATCAAAACAAAACACAAAGGGGTTAGAAAGAATGCAGGTCAGGTTAACGGTGTCTTCTACGGCAATTAAAACCTGCAAACTAAATCGGATGCTCATGTATAAATAAGATATTTTGTGCAACAAAAATGCAACAGCCCAAATGAAATACCTATGTTTCAATATACTGTCCTGGTAGAAAAACTCATGTAATTTGTCTTCAGTAATATGGATTATGGAGAACATGTGCTTGTTTGCTTGATGGAAAACTAGGTTTGTAGATGTAGTAAATTTGCCTGTTTGCATGATTTGTATTTTCTTAAGTAGTACTTAAAACTGTTCTTTGAATTTCTCTTGGCTGCTGTTACAGTAGTAATACTCTTAAAAGGCTGATGGAGACTTAGCATTCTTATCTATGCCTGTCATGCAACAGCTTTTAGTGGGGTTTTGATTTTTTTAGTATGTTACCAGGGACCTCTGTTGGGAGAGCAGAGCATGTGTGTGCGTTGATCCTGCCTTCATTTCCTCTTACCATTTGTGATGGTGGAATAGAGGCCAGTAAGTGCCTGAGCTGCTTTGTAACCACATTCTCTGAAGCCTTTGAGGCAGAAATCTCATCACTTTGTTTCTTTTCCAGTTAAGACACTTGTGTATGCCAGTGCTCGGTGTTTGCTTCAGTGTAGATTTAAATTCTCTAGATTTAGGCATTGCCCAGCCTGCGTCATCACAGCCGTTGCTATCTGTGGCAATAGGCACTACCTGTGCAGTTTGGGAGGGAGGCAGTGTCTTCACCTCAGATCTGCCTGAAAAGGCAGAAGCTAGAAAAGCCAGGTATCTCCAGTCATCTCTCACACCCAGAGAAGAGTATTACTGCCAAGAATGAAGAAAGTAATTCTCAGCAAGCATCAGTCTGAGCAGGTAGACTACCTTGCAGTCAGACAGTGAGTTGAAAGCAAGAAAGAAGATGCTACTGAGGTCAGCACAGTGTGTGCTGATTCTAACCAGTACCAGTTGTGTTGGTCAACCTACTAAGACCAGCAGGTTGCTGTCACCAGGGTGGGGTTATCTCACAAGACAGAACATTCATATCTTTAGCAGCTTGCACAGCTGAACAGAGGAAGGTGGAAGTGGGAGGCATTCCGGAGCCTGCAGCATGGTCCATCCTTGCTTGCTTAGTTGGCTTCTGTTGCGCTGCACAATCATCTCGGGTAATATTTAGACTCCTGAATGGCTCTAGCAAAAAGGAAAGAACGTACTTCAGTTCCAGCTGTCCTCAGAACACAGCATAGTGTTAAGACAGGCAGTTAATTGTTTAACAAAACGTTGACTTTACCTAATGCTGCTTACTGGATTTCACTGAAGATGCTAGCTGTTCTGTCTGAAATCATTTTCGTGAATCATCAGTTCATTTTTTAGCCAAATGGTTAATAAAATGGAAGATGTTATACTGAAGATGCTAGCTGTTCTGTCTGAAATCAGTTCATTTTTCAGCCAAATGGTTAATAGAATGGAAGATGTTACATCATCATCAGTCGTGGTTTGACTGATCTGGTAATGAAACCACAAGCACTCAGATTTTCTGGCAGATGCCAATTACAAGTGTACTGGGGACAGGTTGGCAGTAGTTACTGAAGCCATTATTGAAGGAACCTTGGTCTGTCTCAGCTTGTTTTATGCAGATAAACATTTTAGATTTCAAAGCTGCTGAGTTTGTCTCCTGGACAGCACAACAGCCAAGCCCTGCTGGAACAAGTTGGACCTTCTCCTTGCTCATCTGATTTGAAGCCATTCAGCTCTGCAGTTGGTGTCACTAGAATGCGATGCTACTTGACTGCCTTTTTTCATCTAGGAGTTTGCCAGCTAGTCAGTAATTGGCCTGGATGTTCCTTGCTTGGTTCCTTTTCCAAGGTTATAGTCTTTCCATGTGAATTCCCTGTGGCAGATGTGTTTTGTGAGATGGACAATTAGAAGCTACTAAGTTTTGTTCCAGGTGAGCTTGGAACCCAGTGCTGCTCCTGGACAGTTTCTTTCTGCAGTAAAGCAGTGGATTCACTTTCTATCGCTACCACCACAGTCAGCGGTAATTTCCGAGATCAAGAAAGGAAGCTACAGACATCTTGATAACTGCCCTATAAAAGACAGTTGTGGCTGGATGAACAGTACAGATACCTTTTCATGCTGCCTGTGTCTGAGCTTTCTGCCTTAGGCAGGTTTGAAACCTACCTGCAGGAGTGCCATGGAACACCATGGACAGGAGCTGCCCAACACACCTGGCGGTCCTTACCAGGCAAAAAGCAGAGCAAGCTGCTCTTGCAAATGGAAATGGTTTCAGTATGGTCAACTCATAAATTTTTTGGATCCTATCCAGGCTTTAATTTTTGAACTTCTCTTCTAGTCACTGCACCTCAAACGAGCTGGGACTTTTTGGTGAGGATTTTATTAAAGGTAGCACTCAAGATGATGTTCTTTGATGTTTCCAACACATTTTGACATTTTTCTCTGAAAATTCTGCTCTGCTTATTCTTTTGGACTGAGCAGTTTTTAAGGGGAGAACCTGCACCCATTAAGTGAGTTAGCTGTATACTTCTGTAATTTATTCTTAGGCAACCTTGGTGTCCTACCTAGGACACTATGCTTGCTTACCTCTGTTTTTTCTTGTAATGGAAGAATAGGAGATAATAAAGATGCATTAATTATGTAAAATCTGCTGTATTACAGGCAAGTGTAATTACTAATTAGCTTTTCCATATTTACCACTGAAGCTTTGTATTTTAGTGGCTCATGATTGTAATTCTTCAATAACCTCTCCTCAAAGATATACAGAGCAGGCTGGACAATGCTTCTGCTTGTTGACCACCTGTTTGGTGTACCCCTTCTTGTGAAACTTGAAGGCTTGCTCCATCCAACACAAGGCAATGTTTTCCATTCACATCTGGCCTAGGCTAGTAAAGATATACAAGTCAGTTTTAGAGGGATAACCCACTGACTTTTGTAGATGTTGCCTTAACCTAGTATGATTGACTTAACACTGCCTTTGTGTTGAGCCAGTGTAGTTCAGCTCCTCATCCCATGAAGCCTAGCAGTTCTTGCTTTTCAGCTGCTTGCAGTAGATTTCTGCAGATATAACACAGGTGAAGAGCCTTTATTTATCCTGGAGTAACTGCTTCTTAAATGAGTTGATGTGAGGCTCTGAGGCTTGGTCCTTTATCCATTGTTTTGGATTAATCTGCTGCCACAGACTTTGCGTCCTGATGGAGTGAAGGAACAATATAGTTTCTTTGCTCAGGAGGCACCAGGATGTACACAGAGTCTCAGGCAAGACTGCTTTTAAAAGGCAGTATTTTCATATGTTTGCATAGAGGTCACACAGTCGGTATTCAGAACTATGGTTATTGCATTACAGGCAACTGTTCTGTCTCTATCAGTATCAAAAAGTTATCAAACTGTCTAATGCTAATTCATTTTGTGCTGAAGAGTTATGGGTAGAGAATGTCTTGCTAAACACTTTAAATTTTCCCATATTGGAAGATAAAAATATGTTGCCTTCAAGGAATAGCAAAAATAGAGCTGCATATACATACTGGAAAAAAGATGCTTCATGGTAAAATTTTAGGGAGACTGTTCCATTGGAAAGAGCCGTAACGTTGCCTTGACTTTGCTGCATTGTGCAGGAACCTAATCTGTAAGTAGCGCCGTTGGGCTTCTAAATTGTGTACCTACGCATACCAGTGGTTAGTTGTGTCTTTGGCAGTCTGTGTTCTTAATTACCTGGTTGGTGGATAGCGGAGAAGATTGAACCCAAAATTTGGATTGGTAGCATTTTGACATGGCTTTGCAATTCTTGTCCGGGTTTCTTTTTTGGCTTGCATTAAAAATTTTGCACCCAGCAGTTGTAGTTTGGTATGCAACTGGCTGCCTGCTAGATGTTAACTCCCAGGGATAGCATACTCTGCAAAAGTTTGAGAAGCTGACAGAATTTTCTGTGATGAAGTACCAAGAAGATTTCCATTTCATTTCATTCCATTGCAATGTATTGAGTATAGTGATTAGATGAAAACAGTAAAAAAATCTGTAATGGTTCTGTTCTCTCAATTGATGCCAGAAAATATACTTAATAATATTTCTTAGGAAATAAATACTTCAATTTGATAAAATAGATGTATATTGACTAATGCTTCATAACTTGGAGTATGATTCTACAGCAATAACTACTGAGGACTAGCATATACAGAGTGGGTTGGTTTTCTTCTTTTGTCATCTTATACCTGGAGTTTTTGTTTGTTTGTTTGTTTTTTCTTACAGGTGGCAGTGTGCTGTATTTGTTTCTTTGTCATTCTCCCATTGAACCTCGTTGGTACAATTCTTGGCCGAAATCTGTCAGGACAGCCTAATTTTCCATGTCGTGTCAATGCAGTGCCTCGTCCCATACCAGAGAAAAAATGGTAAAGAAAAGGATGCATGTTAACTAGATGTATTAGCTTCCACACATTTCAAATGACTTTTCAGATGTGATCATTGAAAGTTTTTCTAGAAGAACTTTTTTTATTTGAATTGAGTTGTGTCTAGAACATCTCTGCTGACAATTCCTTAATATGATATTTCTGTTGAATAAAACCACCAAGTGCAGTTAATGGTTAATAGTTGTAGCATATTTTACAGTCCTGGATTACTGCTTCACATTTGGCCTGAAATGCTCTTCAGTCTCTTATATAAAAAGGATGGTCCTAACCCAGTTCTTGTTAAGGGTATCTTGAAACTGAACTTTTCCATTTTAGTTAATGCCTTGTGCAGATTTAGGATTGAATGTGCCTTGGAGGCAGAACTGTTCTTTTTAATGGTCTCCATGTACAAGCTGAGACATTTGCAGGGTGGTGGGGAGAAGTTTGGAATGCTGTTCCCAATTCTGCACTTTTGTTGATGGCACAGAGCCCAAAATATTCCAGGTATACAGTCTGAATTACAAATAAGCCTTTATTGTTTTTGAAGTGAATATAAAGGGGTGGGTTCCTAGTCTCACAAAGTAGACTTGGGTTTTTGGAAAAACATGAATGCAGTCACTTTTTCCTGTTAATTTAATTCTGAGCTGGAAGCAGCAAGCTATGGAAATGAAAATATCCTCAGAGGATTTTTTAATAGATTTTTCTTGCTTTCCTGCTCAGAGGAATGGAACAGACAAAGTGAAGGGGGCACTGAAACGTGTACACCCTCGTATCCAGGAAGTGCAGCACACTTAGTCTCTTGTTAGTGGTGGATTGCGCAGCTCATATGCTAGGATTTGATTTATATTGTGACCTGTATCTTGGGAATCTGATGGATTCTTCTGGATCAGTGTGACAGATGAAGAGAAATAAGATACTCTTGGAGATGATGAAATTGCACACCGTCAACTTAGACATGTCTCCCTATAAATAATAAAAGGAGCTGCAAATTAAATCACTGGTTACTAGCTAGGTTCAGCATCATTGCAAGTACTACACAGAGGTCACCTTTAGTAAGCAACAGTATTGTCTACAGATAGCTGAGTGTTCATTTTTGATCATAGGCTCATGACTCAGTATAGCATTAAAAATAAACATTACCCTGCAAAACTTTCCTTGTGCTTATTGCTGTATTTGTAGCTGCCAACAGCTTTGAGTTTTCACTGCCTTCATTCAAGGCTAGTAAATGTTACAGGGCTTGATTGCTTAAGCCCTTTTTGGGCAACAGAGATTCTTTCTGTAGCCTTTAAGGCTGGTTAGGTGCCTAACCTAATGCCTGTAGGTGATAGGCATGAGACATGTTTTGTTTCAGCTTTCCCCAAGAATAACAACTTGTTCTGTCCTTACATGTGTCATCTTTGGGGGAATCTTCTTTCTAATATGCTAGTATGAGACAGAATTGTTCTTGTTAGCATACCTTTTAAATAATTCTCTCTGCTATATTAATTATCTGGTTATATGTCTTAATACATTTTTAAATGAAAGATCAAAATTTTCTCTAAACTAATCATAATATCTTTCAGGTTCATGGAACCAGCTGTTATTGTTTGCCTAGGTGGAATCCTCCCTTTTGGATCAATTTTTATTGAAATGTGAGTGTGTCAGCTGTTTGCTAATTTGATTAAAAAGTACAATAATTTAAGTTCAATTACAATATCATCTGCATATTTTGTTTACTCTCTTCAGGTATTTCATTTTTACTTCATTCTGGGCTTACAAGATCTACTATGTTTATGGCTTTATGATGTTGGTTCTGGTTATTCTCTGCATTGTGACAGTTTGTGTGACTATCGTTTGTACGTATTTCCTGCTAAATGCAGAGGATTACAGGTGGTAAGTATTGCATTATTTGCGTAGTTTACCAGACTGTGAGAGTTTTATAGAAAAGTAAAGTTCTTCAGTCTGGATGGGTCTTTTCAAAGTGTCCGCTGTCCAGATTTTAGCTGTAGGGAATAAAAGCAATTATTGGATCCTTTTCTGTACAGGAGCTTTCTGTGTGTATGTGCATCTGTGTATAAAGGTATGTATGTGTGTATTAGAAAAACATATGTCAAGGGGCACAGGAATATGAAGAAGGATCATCACTTGGTATCAGTGATAGCTGTTGGCTTAGAAGCTTTTGTCACTTAAAGCAGACAACATGCAGATTTTGTTAAATAAGCCTGTGGAAACAGTACACTTTATTTTCAGGGTAAGATTTTAGCACATTGTGCATCTTCTTGGGAAGCCTTTTGATTAGATACATGATGTACGTGCGTGTTTACTTTCAGGCAATGGACAAGCTTTCTTTCTGCGGCATCAACTGCAATTTATGTTTACATGTACTCCTTTTACTACTACTTTTTCAAGACAAAGTAAGTGGTAGTTTTCTTGCTTGAATATCAGATTACCGTATTGCCAAATAAATTCATTGAGAAGAACTGGGGGAAATACCTAGCATAAATTCCTATCTTTCTTTTTCAGGATGTATGGCTTGTTTCAAACATCATTTTACTTTGGTTATATGGCAGTATTTAGCACAGCTTTGGGAATAATGTGTGGTAAGTTTAAAATAAATTGACAGTTTTCTCTATGAATTTTTCAGACTGTCATGTTTTCTGATTTCAGCTCTGTGGTTTTGGTATGTCTGCAAGATGTGCTCAAAAAAGCTTACAATCTTTAAAAAGAATCTTCGAGTTCTCTGCTTATATTTGGTACCTACCTAATATAGGAGATTTCTGATCTGTCTTCTGATAGGAATATAATTTATGTACTGTGCAGAGAATTTCACCCTCAGTTCAAGCTTGAAAGACTCAACATTTGGCAAGAAATTCTGCAAAATAAATTCTAAATCAAGTTGAGTCCTTGCTAGCATTTTGTTTTGGAGTTTTTACTGTTGCTCCAAGACAAGGAGCTAGGAACACCCATTGAGGCGTCGATGGTATTGCCATACTGGTGACACTACCATCTGTATCTTGTGGCATGTATATACGAGGGTAACCAGAAAAGAAAGGACTGATACTTCAGGATAGCATTTGAGAAATAGGTATTGGAATATTCACAGGCGAGGAGAGTGCAGAGTGCTCCTGTGTGCAGCTGGATTTAATTTCTTTTTAAGATACTGTTTTGACAGATGTTTAGAAAAAAAACAGTTCTTGGCATGGAGGTCATCGATAAGGTCAGATATACTTGTTCACCTGTGAGCTTTATTTTTATCCTTCGCTGTATGACTTTCAGAAAGTGCTACTTGGTTCTTTTGCACTTTTCCTATGATGCTATTTCCTTTTTATTTGTGATCCTTATTTAATACTTTCCTTTGTAGTAGTGAATGAATAGTCCTATAGACTCTAGTGGAAGGATTTCTTTGGGTTAGATATTTGAGACACACGATGTCTTACAGGAACTTACTTTCTGTAAGGTGTACATTTCTTGATACCCCAAGAGAGTGGGTAATTTCACAATGCTTTATAAAAAGAGGAGAGAAATAATCTCTTAACTGCCGAGTACCTGTTCCCCTTCTCTCATAAAATCTAATCTTTCTTCATCGGGTTCTTGGCACATTACAAGACTTCCCTGCTGTTCTGGTAGTCTTGCAGCCGTTTGGTTTTTTTTTTTTTTCTTTAATAGGCTTATACTTTTCAGCTCTAATCTTTTCTTTTTAAAGTGCTCAGGCTGGTATTGATTAAAATGTCTATAATGCAGAAGCCAGGCTTGCCCACCAGTTTCTGTGATTAAAATGGTTTTTAAAACATGGCAAAGGAAGATTGTCAAATGTTTCTTACATTGGTGGGCCGTTACTTTGTGGAATATTAGAGTAATATCCACATTTGTTCAAAATCAGAAAATACTTGTGACACATTACACTTTATTTCCACAACTCTATTAAGATTTCTTTTTGTCTTTTCAAGTGTTGGAAGAGAAGCTGTGAGATTCCTTTTTACTGAGAACTCCCATTTTCAGCATGTGGAGGGAAAAAAAAAAATCCCTGTCAGAAAGCCTTTGTCTAGGGAACTTGCCATTGAGGTCTAACAAAGACATTTGTGTCAAAGAATTGTGCAGCGTGTGTGCTACTGACTGTACATCTCCTGCAAAAATTGTGTAGAGCTGTGCTTTGGAGGCTCATGCAAATAGGCGTGTTCAGTATCACACAGTTGGATGTGTGACAAACTAGTTAGGGTCCAAAACAGCCACAGGGAAACTCTGTGTAGGCTTGTATCATCCAACTCTGGTTTTAGTGCCCCTGACAATGCCTAGTGAATTCAAATCCCACATGTAGTGGGATGCTTTGATCCACAAAGTCTGCTGCCCTCTGCAGAGCATCTCAGTTCTGGGATGGGACAGTAGGGAGCCCATGAGAACTTCCAAACCTTTTGAGCTCCTTGTGTTTCCCTCTTAGCGACAGAAAAGAATAAAACTTACTCCCTAATTCAGTAGATGGCTTAGGAGCTAGATGCTACAGAAAGGCCTCTTGCAATACCACACTTCAGCATCCAGATAGATACTGTAAGTATGATTGAGGGCTTTTAAAAAAAATTCTGTGCTTACAAAGTCACAACTGTAGTAAATGTTAATTGGTTTGAAGTAATAGATGGGAATTAATCTCTTTCTGTTTTATGGTTGCTCTTCCTCACTATTTGGATTTTTCTCTTTATTTAAAAGTTCGTTGTTCTACTGAAATACACTTGCAGTCTATTTCTAGTAAAGCTGTATAGACCATAACCAGGTTTTAAATATCATCTGGTGAGGTGTTTAATAGATAAATAAAATCATTGCCTTTACTGTGGATGTTTTTATTCAAATGAGTCAACTGTCCTGCATTTGTTTCAGGGGGACGTTCTCTAGTGATTGTTGCCTAGGGTTTCTCCCTCCCCACTCCATGTTTTATTTAATGCCTGTGAAGTAGCCTTGAGGCTCAAACCACTGCTTCGGGTGTTGGCTAGTAGTAGCCTTCATGGATAAGGCTCCTGTGATTCCAAATAGGTTTATGGGGTTGAAAGCTTGTGGTACTCTCTGTTCCTCCCCCTCACTTCCATCTCATGCATCTATTCTCTAGATCCCAAATGAAACACAATTAATGCTTTGTTCTCTCAGATCTTTGTGGCATCTGACATCACATCACCAGAGAAACAATCAAAGAAAAGTTCTGGAATATATCTGAGTTTAGCAACTAAAATGAGCATTGGATCTGTTGGCAGTGTCTGCTTTAACAGGCAAAACATGATGAGTCTTAAAACAGTAGTCCAGTGCCATTATTTTTGTCCATTTACTGCATAAGACAGAAGATGAGTTTCTTGACAGGCTACAGGAGAAACTGTATGTGCTCCTGTCTGACTCCAAGCTCATGTCACCTCCTCTGCACAGCCTGTGCCTGGGTCTGTCTGAATGCTGTACTGGTCTCTCATTGAACTGCCAGACCTTCCCTATGCTGCATCCTCAGCACACTTAACGCTTGCAAACAGCAACGTGATCTTGTGTGTGCTGTAGTTGTTTTACTTGAACTCTACTTTGTCCAAGTTAGTAATACAGTTCTCTCATTTGCTGGTTAGTGGAATGGTTTTCATGATATTTATACAGCTTGAAATGCTGTACAGCACAGAGACTGACTCCACAGGCTCTCTAACACTCCGATAGCATTGGAATGATGCATCAGATTTGCCTTGTGCAGATTTCCTGATTAGATATGAATGTTGGGCTTTTGGGGGTCTAAAACCCCAACTTTTGTGAGAGTTTAATGGCTGACCTCATGAATTATCCAATCAGTCCCCAGGATTTAAAGAACTCTCCAGGTCCTGAATAACTGCTGTGGTCAGCCGTGCTACCTGCAGATCTGTACAGCTTTAATTTCTAAAGTCAAAAAAACGTTATATTTTTATTGGAAAATGAAGTTTTGTCAGAAAACTTTTAGTGTTGGTTAGCCTTTTGTATTTAACACATCTTGTGCAGGTCTGCTGCATCCCAAATCACCAAAAATGTTGTTGTTTCATGGAAGCAAAAATATCTTTTCAAAAGAGTCCATTCTTTACTGAGCATCCAGACATTTGATGTTAGGAATTCTCTTCTCCGTAGTGAGTTACAGGCCCTGACATCTCTCTCCTTTTCTTACCATATTTTATGATAAGAATATGTGTTATTCTGGCAATCTGACAGCAGTTGTCTCTAATTCTTGCCTGATTTTCAACTTCACTTCTAAGCTGAGAATTAGCCCAACTGACTTCCACAAGGCTGATTTACTCTGATTTTGCTTGCAAGAGATGAAGATACTCCCTGCAGATATTGCAAGACAAAAATATTTACTGAGCCTGGCAAACCTGAGGTTCTAGGTTTGACCAGGTAGGCTGCTGAATCTCTTTCTGAGGAGAGGTCTTGGTCCAGTGCATTTCTTTTGTTTTTTCTAGTTGTCTTTAGGCCTGCAGTATTTTGGGTTTAGCATAAACTGTTGGCCCTATCAAAAACCCAGTGACCTGTTCTTTTATTACTGCTGTGACGATGCAAACTCTGCTCATGACTCTTACTAATTTGAAAACCACAGGTTGCAATTTCCTTTAACTACTAACTGCTACTAGTTTAATCTCTTTGTACAGACCTCCTTGGACTTTAAGAGTCCTGGGATGGGGATCTATTATTATTTGTGCCTTGTGGGAAGGAAAAAGCCATCTGCCAATAAAACACTCATCCAGAAGGCATGTAACTTATAATAAAAACCCACCCTCCCATCCACCTTCCCTGCAGAGTGGGCGATTGTATGTTTTTTGCCCTCTGTTCAGAAAAAGGGACCTGGTTATTGGCAGCAGTAGGAGGGCTGCTATATTTATCGAGGCCAAGTGAGCATGGCCTCTTGGTAAGATGGCTTAATGGATTTAGATTGCTAGACTAGGGCAGTTCTTGCCAGACATTCACTGGGAGCATGGATAATTAGAGTTTGAGAACAAGTATTGCACGTAAATAATTTTCTGTGTGCAGAGTGCTTGCTTTATGTGACTTTCTCTGTCTAAATGTGCGTGTTTTATATTGCTGTCTTATTTTAATGATCAGATCTCTAACATATTGAATGTTTTTGGTTTATTTTGCAGGAGCCATTGGTTACATGGGAACAAGTGCCTTTGTTCGTAAAATCTACACTAATGTGAAAATTGACTAAGGAAATAAGAAAATTGAACTATGGATCAGTTCCTGTTTTCATGGGGACAAACTTGCACAACAAAAAGCGCGAGAAGAGATTTGGGTTTTAACACTGGGCACTATATGGGTCTCCATTTTGTGGATGGCTTAAAGTAACATCTATTTCATTGATCCTAGGTTCTTACTGACTGCTTTCTCCAACTGTTCACAGCAAATGCTTGGATTATATGCAGTAGGCATTACTACAGTACGTGGCTAATCTTCCCAAAAAAAAAAACCAAACGACAAAAAACAAAAAACCTAGCTCATTAAAGATGAATAGACTAGCTCTCTTCAGTGAAGAGGACAAACGGTTTATTTAAAGCATTTGTTCCATTCAATAAAAGAGGGAAACTTGGCTGCTAAAACTACTTGATTAGTAGTCTTCCTGGTACTTAACATTTCTAAATTATGTAAAAATGCAGTTCCAGAAAGATTACTCTTCTGATTTTTACTGCCATTGCCAGGATAGGAGGTATGTTTTATATTTTGACTCCAGGTGCTTTTTGGTTTATTTGCGATACCAACTATACCCTACACTCATTTGTTTAAAAAATAATTTAAAAATATATAAAAAAACCCATATGCATGTAATATATCGGCTATTGTTCTAGTTGGACCAACTTCCCTTTATTTATCTTTAAAGTAATATCCAGCTACATCTTAAATCCATCCAAAGAAAATACAGTCTGAAGATGGGATGTGTGCTCTGCAATGCAATTTACTGTACAGTTAGAAAGCAAAATGTTAAATGAAGAGGATTGTTTGTTTTTTAATAAACATTTGAGGTCTAGATTAAAACAAAAACAACATTTTAACTGAATGTCTAAAGTGATTCTCCTTTTTTCCAAGTTAGTCTTGCATTTTTTTTGTTTGGGTTTGAATGAAGATTTTCCTTTAGACATTATACAAGGGGTAATAAGTGTATATAACATTAAATAATGTAACTTAGGTGTAGATCCCAAATGTATTTGGATGTACAGATTTACTACAGAGTACTTTTCTGATGATTCGGTGTAAAAATGTGTGAATTTGGGTGGCTTTTTACATCTTGCCTGCCATTGCATGAAAAAAGTTGGGGGTTCTTCACAATGTGTGTATGTCATGCTTTTCTGTTCTATTTTCTTTCTCAAGCTCTTACAGAAATCAAATTTGTAATTAAGAACATTTTAATTTTTGTTAATCCTGTCTGGACACTTCTGCAACATCAAAAGCACAGTTGCTTTAGAGTGTTCAGAAAGCTAAAATAAACGTTTCAGACAAAAATGTTCTGATTGTGAAAATAGATGAGTTTGCAATTGAAAATATTTGAAAAGGCAATACTGCTGAACGGCAGCTTCTGTATACAACATTAGTGTGGTTTTCAAGTATCAAAACCCCATGCTTTGAATTCAGAATTTGCTTACAACTGTATTGTACAATACAGCTCCAAAGTGGATGACCAGCCCAAAAAGATTCTTCTTGGCTGAACTGTTTGTGGAGAAATCTGTTTTGTGATCCATCTAGTGTACTGAGAAAAGTGAGGGTAAGCGTGGACTGAAATAAATGGGCAAATAAAGGTTCAATATTTCTAAGATGGCTGTTAATTATGCACTGTATTTAACTAGAAATATTCTGAATGTGTTTGTGACAGATTTGAGAGCCAGTCGGCTTGATTTTTTTATTATTTTTATTTTTTTAGGCATCTGCCATATAGGGATGTTTTCATCAGTGTGGCTGTCTGAAATAGAGCACCTGCCATGGAGAAGGCAATTTCCTGAATTTAAAAAATGAGCGAAGTATTTGTATTGATTAGCAGCACTCTATTGCCTCTATATCAAAAGTACTGATAATGCAGTAGCCACAATGAGAAGCAACTGTGCTTTGGCAAGGTTGGGTTGGAGGCTGGGGGAACTAAACTGATAGGTAATAGTGAAAAGCAATGCATCCTGGCTTCTGAAAAGTGTTTGAGCTTTCAGCTCTGATTTCCCTGACAGATTTTAACCAACCTGTCAGAAAATAATTAAGTTTTGCTTCAAGTGAATGGTTGGTGTCTGTAGCTGAACACTGCTGTTTAACAGAAGATAATTATTTTTTTCTAAAGTACAGGCTGATTTTAAGATGAATTTGTAAACTGGGTTGACAGTTAGTTTTCCTTTGTTCCAGAACATGGAGACTTAAAGCAAAGAGTGGCTTTTGTACTAGTTCTTGCTAGTGCATACAGATGTGGGAAGCCCTCTTTTCATCCGTGTTCTTCTAAATCTGAAGTGAGAAGCCATTATCTCCACACAATAAATACATTAAGTACTCTGCCGAGATACAAGTTTTTTAAAGGGAATATTTTGATAATGGATCTGTTTCTCTGTTTAGAGCACTGCTATGTGATTACTCTATCAGAAATGTCACTAAGCCGTTTGTGAATTTCATTTAATCACTTTTTAATGCCACAGAATGGTGGGCTGCCTACTTGCTTTCTCTGTCCTCTGGCATTATTAGCTTTTGCATATCCAGATAGGATTTTATAGCTTTTAAAGTGACATTGAAAAAGATACTCACTGCACAGGCATTGCTTTTGTTTCTGCAAGCACGTTCCTCTGGAGAAGTACTGTGTTTAAATAATTGACATTTTTATACTTCCACCCTAACACATCAGTAGGTTGGGGGTTTGCTTTGTTTTCCCCCTTCCTTTTGGTGTCTGAAGGAGTGCAAAATGTGACCAGTTTCCACAGTTTGTCTTTATGGTTGCTGTTTGGGGCAAGGCTATTTATTTGCCCCCGAAAAACTGTGGATATAGCTTGAACCATCTTGCTTAATAGAATTTGGAAGCTCTCTGCTTAGATGATGTAGTCCTTCCTCTTTTATGGAAGAAATAAAGATCTTAAAGCCAACACTCCTCTTTCCATGGTTGTTTCTTAGAAGTTTCTGGTTCTTGAATTTAAGGTTTTTGATAAATTTTCAGTTGGCCGCTCAGTGCTTCTCTTCCTACTTCTGGTACAGAGGCCTAAGATTTGGGTAAATAGTTGTGTAGCAATAGCCAGTCTTGATCAAGTGCTTTAGATAAATAAAACTGTAAATATCTTCAGTTGAGGCAGAGTGCATATATAAAGCACCTCTGGTACTTCATGTATGAAAAGTGGTGAACACTGGATTGGAGATAATGGAGACTGCAAATAAACATTACCTTACGCTGTTTTTTGATGTCTGAATGTTTTGAAGCATCAGTGTCTATTAATTCCTCTCCAGAATTACATTTCAAAGTGTGTAAAGGGCACAAAATTAAATTGTTTTCTGTATGATAGACTAGGTGTATTTCTTCAACAAATTTCAGGTTAAAAACAAAACAGAAACCTAATATTGTTGGTTTACAGTTTTGGTGCTAAAAATGGGTAAAATTGATAGCACATTCTTATCACTATCATTACTGTAAAGGTAATACAAATAAGGAAGTTATATTTTGCTCTGGCTTCAGCATCACCAGCATCTAGCCAGTTCTGCCCAATGAAGTGTATATACACAGCATCACTGAAGACAGCAAAACTGCATAATTGTGAGTGCCTCAGCAAGTTCTCCACTGGAATGTGTCTGAATAGCATAAGCTTATGAAAAAAACAAGTCTCCTCTCCAGCCTGTGGGCACATAAACAGTTGGAACAGTTGGAGCTAGAGTTGAGGGGTGTTCTTATCTTGAATTAATTCTTAACTGTGCAGCTTCTAGTTCATTTTAAGAGTCGGTTGGAAGTGTAGGTTGGAGAAGGATTGAATTTTTTGATCCCTTGGATCTTTTCTAGCTAAATGCAGTATGGTTAGCAGCAGTCTTGCTAACCAGGGTTAGCACTGAGGTCATGGAAGCCCCTGCTGTTGTTGGACCTCTGTTAGAACAAAGCCATGTTTTAAAATAACAAAGCAGTGCGTTTATGGCTTGCATTCTTCCAGAGCATCGTTTCTCAAAAAAAAAAAAAAGTTTTGATGCCATTTGTTTTCCAAAAGCAGAAGTACAGGAATGAGACTTGCAAAGGAACATTTGCTTTTTGCTAAATAGCTTCAGTGAGAAGATTCTCCTAATTTTCTGAGGAGACATCTGGATGCAAGTTCTGCAAGTAGTTCCTCACCTCTCAGTTTTATCCAGGAGGTGCTTCTTCAGTTAGGGGAAGGGGCTGTTACAGTACTTACTTTTATGACTAGCTCTGTAGTTCTGAAATTTTTCTTCAGTTTTTAGGGTATGGCATGTGGGGAAAAAAAAACCCCAAAACAAACAACATGGGAGAGCCTATGAATCTGGAAGGCTTTATGCAGTTCCAGTAAATTCAAGCAGTTCTTGAAGAGAATCACTTTAAAGGGCAGAAACTCAATTAATTGGGAAAAGTATAAGAAAAAGTTGTTTTATTTGGTGGACTAACCTATTTCAAAGGCAGGGCTCCAGAGACAAAGTTGCTGTAACGGTATCATTTGCCCCCACCCCGTACCAGTTACAATCTCTTTGTATTTACCATGGTGCAAGGCTTTTGCAATAAACCAAGGATCCCTTGTCATGGGCAAGGGAGATTATGTTGGTTGCTACAGCATTTTTGGCTTGTTCATAGGTTAATTTTCTCACCAGCTTCTAGTAATACAATACAGAGCAATATGTCAAATATTTCTGGAGGTTCTACCGTGCTGAAGCTTTATTTCTTAGGAAAACCAAAGCCATAGGAACCTTCCTTACCTTCTAGGCAGATGATCTCCTTCAAGACCTTGGTCTTGGAGCATTCCAAAACATAACTATACAAGTTCATACTTACCCTTCAGCTGCTGTTGCATGGCTATAGCATTCCAGAAAATACATTATTTTTTAGAATTGGGAGTTTATGTATGTGCAATAAAGAAAATAACAATTTTACAGAACTGTTCTTTTAGGGGGGGTCCTATTATGAAATAGTCCTAACAGAAATAAACTCTTCTAATATTGTGAGACATGCTTACGCATACGGTGATGTCATAGTTAACTTTGATTGATAGATTCCCGTTCACCAAGGCATAGACTTAAGCCCTGCTATCTTGAAATGCTATGCTGGGTCTGGGCTGAAATGTCCAGTCTCTAGTAGCTGTGTCTAACAAGCTGACCAGCCTAGGAAAACATGCTACAGTTGGGCACCATGCTCTGAAACTTTTTTTTTTTTTTTAAGGCTGTGTGGGGCGAGCTTTTACTTCGTTTCTAAAAAGTTTTGGGAGCTATAGTAGCTAACTTACTGAGAAGCTTCCCAACATGGCTGAGAGCATCATGCAATACTGAACTCAAGGAAACTTTTGAGGCTGCTCATTCGCATTTCGCAAAGGTTTGTCTCAGAATTTTTGGAGTTGTGTGGTGTACTAAAGCGCTAGACAAGGCATGATGTTTTTCTAGGCATCTTGACTTGTAATGCTCCCTTTAAGTTCATTTTATGCTATTTTTTCATGCTGAATCCCTACAGTCTTGGTTTAGCCATATCACTTTATTGGGCTGAGAAAAATGGATTATGTTATTAGCTTAGTGTGAGGATTTTCTTGTAGGAGTACCTACAAGAATGGGATGGGAAATTCCTTCTCATTTGCCTTTAATGTCTGACCAGGAGTTGGCAGGTGAACTAGTGAGCATTACCTACTGGTTTGTCTTAAAAAGAGATCTGACAGTTGGTGTGACAGTCACCCATTTACCTGCAAGAACTGCAGACACTTGCAGTAAAATGTGAAGAGATGCTATTAGGTCACTTAAGTTCTGCATTTGGACTCTGCAGAATAATTTTTTAGTAACTTGAATTGCTTAGTTGAAAGCTGATATTTTTTTTTTCTGTTTATCTCACTACCAGAAAGTGATCAAACTCCCATCTTTGTCTGAATCCGACATGTATCACATTTTTTTATATGTGTAGCAAAATAAAAAGTGAAAAAGAAAATCACTATTCCTGGTTTTAGCGATCTAAAGAGTGACGTACAAGATGAACCTAATTGAAAGTATTGCTTGCCTAAGGAGAGGAAATACCTGCATGCTCTGTGCCGTAGCCAGGTGTGTAAGGCGAATGAAGATGTTACTATGGATAAATCCGTGTACAGAAATCCTGTGCAGAATCTGTAATTGGGAAACTTTTCTAAGGCAATTCTCCATGAAGCAGCATCTCGGCTTTTTTGACACATTCATTAAATTCTACCCGCTGTTGTGAAACAGACTAAACTCGGGTAGCGTGTGCTACCAGCCTCTGGAAAGGATGTGTGAGGGTGAACGGGCAAATGCAACTGTCCCATCTTCATCTTGTATCAGAGACTTGGAGAAATGTT